TACAATTTTCTGCCTTCGATGATTTGGACCCCACAAAAAGCCAGTGTTTAACTGGAGTGCAGAAACTATATACTGTACTGGCAAGAAGAATACAAGTAAACACAAGAAGAAAATACTTTTAGGCAAACAGTGCTTAGTCAATACAAAATGGAGGCAAATCTTATTCCCCTCATGTTGCAAACTAAGACTTTTGTTAAGAATCCCAATTACATAAGCAAGGTCAACAATGACTTAAAGGAATAGTTTCTTCATACTGCAATGTACCTCAAGGGGCCAAAATGAGTAAGAAGCAGGTCGAATGCACTGGGAGAATGTGTATATTCTTTCTACAGTGCCTTCCAATCACAGCTTTGTGCCACTAAGCCCTCACCCACAGCAAGCTGCAGCCACTGTGCAAAAATGTACAGAGAAACTAACTTCTGCAAACTTTACTCTGCCCACTTTGTTAACACATACGTAATAATAAAAAGACAATATAAAATATTTCTCCATTAACTTAATAATGCAAAAAGCATCCAAAGATTTTAATGCCTATCCACATCCTAGTACAATGCTTTTAGAGGGAAAGTTCCGTTGTTGGCCAAAGAATACTCCCTTCCCGGAAAAAGCATTTGGGTATATTACTAGGATACTGAAGAATTCATCCACATTTAAAGAAACATTCCAATTTCACTCCTTTCAGAAATATTATTAAAACCGCTCAAGAGTTCAGTTGCAGGTGTTATTTATAAGCCTGCAGCAAGCATTCCATTGAGTAAAGTAAAATTTGAACTTCTTGATAAAACTGAATTCTTCCTTGATATCAGAATGTTACTGGTGTAGCAAGTCAAACTGTACAGGGCACAGTGAGAGCCTGTATATATTCTTACAGTAATTCAGTGTTTCTCAATATAACCCAAGATGCTCACAGAGTGAAATGAGCCCAATTCAAAGTCCTCCTCAAAATCCACCAACCCTGGTTGATAAGTACTTAAAAAAATAAATCTGATGACCTTACTTTTACTTCTCTGAATACTCATGTTACAAACAGAGGACTTCTTCTATTAGACGACTGAATTGCTCCTAACACTTCAAACTCGCCCCCCAGCCTGCTCCCCCAAAAAAGGACCAAGTGAATTGGCAGAGACAACTCTACGAACAACCCGAAAATCAGAAGCGTGATGGTCGGTACCCCTGATGTGTCTTCTTTTTTTGCCCCTAGTCCTCTGAAGACGTAAATATTAGTCTAACATAGCTGACACAGCCAAAGAGAGTCAAGCACATGCTCAATTTAGATTTAAGCAAAACTGTTTTTCCCTTGCCGCATCTTTCTATTTTACTTTGCCTTTCAAAAACAACTTGGAATAAGCTTCAGAGTCTTTTTACAAGGAACTAAGTAGCACTGTGGGTGTATGGAAACAGAAAATATAGCTTGGCCACAGCCGGAAGGGCGCCTTAAAACAGCGGTGCTACTTTTTCTCTATTATACTCAAATATGATGTTTTAAAAGATGCAGACTGCAAACTTTTTAATGCTTTTTTTTTTGCGGTATGCGGGCCTCTCACTGTTGTGGCCTCTCCCGTTGCGGAGCACAGGCTCCGGACGCGCAGGCTCAGCGGCCATGGCTCACGGGCCCAGCCGCTCCGCGGCATGTGGGATCCTCCCAGACTGGGGCCTGAACCCGTGTCCCCTGCATCGGCAGGCGGACTCTCAACCACTGTGCCACCAGGGAAGCCCCTGCAAACTTTTTTTAAGTACTTATCTCACCCATAAAAATGAAATCGATCAGGAATCCCACACCACTGACTATGTTTGAATTTAATTACCGTATCTGCTTCGTAGAGCATCACAGGAATCAGCTTTTACCACTGGGTAATTCTCAACAATATTAAAAAGGGAGCTTTAGTGCTAAAGTACCGGCTAGCCCTAAACTAGCGTAATGCCAACACTCTAGCAGTCGGTGAGAGCATGTTAAGTGACGGAGGGAATGGAAAATGGTCTACGAGAGTTGGTCCCCAACATTAACATGAACAAGCCACGGTGAGGCAGGAGGAAATCTGACCAACGTGCACCATGTTTCTATTTTCCCACTTATTTAGCATCCTGCTGTGAAGTCACACCTGACATCTTGGCAAGTTAGTCTGTGATACCATCAACTTTTTCAGGAAGCATTTGTGAGTTTGACAACATGGTCACAGAGCTGCAAAGTGCACAAAGCTGAAGGCACGGAGTAGAAAAGTTGTGAACTGATGGTGCGGGCGGGGGTGGGGGGGGAGAAGTTATATTGGAAGCAGAGTTAGCATCTTCCTGTAAGAAGACTTTCTAATGCTAAACAAAGACCAACTCTTTTAAAGGGGTTTGTTTTGGTTAGGGGTGAAAAATACTGTATTGTAATGATCTGCTTGATTTTAAAGCAAAAGATATCTTTCTGTATGAAACCAATATGCCAAAGTGCCAAGTCCGCAAATGAACAAAACAAGTGCTTTAAAAAAAAATAAAAAAGATTCTTCTGCTCTTATATTTTTGGAGGAAGCTGCTGACTTTGGCTGCTGGATCTCACTTAGCAATGGTCACTCTTCATGACGCTTGTTCCTCACGGAATCTGTAGATAAAGTCATTAGAAGATTGTCCCATTTCAAAATCATCCCCAAGTCTAGCAGCAACCGTTTTGTTTTTTGTTAGTTTTTTGTTTTTTAAAATTACAAACCAAAGTAAGAACTCCAACATCCTTTTCCAAGAACAGCTTGGTGACAGAGCTCCTGAGTGTCTGCAGGACCCCGCTGCGCTCTGAATACAGTCTCTGCAGCTCCAGTGTGTCCTCTTTTCAGGAAGGAAAGTACATTCAATACATTCACTATCTGTACCCTCTGGAACTTGCACATGCTGATGAGCTGTCTGAAAAAAACATCAGAAGAGTTAAAGTATCAACAGCCGACAGCATTTGATAATGGTAGGAATCTGTTTATTTGACACATATTTCTCACCCCTCTCCCAATCCCCCAAAAGGAGATCAGAGAAAACCTCAAAACCATGTGGTTTTGAATGAAGTGAAAGGGGACCAAATCATCAGGAGCTGAGTCTGGGCCCTTTATCTCATTCTAGTGGAGACTAAAGAACTGGCAGCCTCCTGACAACTGCCTGAAAACTGCCACCAGCAACTGGGCTTCAGAGCTGCCACAGCTTACAGAACAGTCTGACCCTGACTGCACACAGTGCCCTTGGAGACCACCATCAAGAACACTGGATATCATTATAGCTAGTGGCTGCCTTACATCACAAAACCATCAAGGATGGTAAGGAACATCATTACTTACTATAAGCCAACTCATCCCCAGCTCTCTTCCGGGACTGGTCACCTCTGGGGATTAAAAAAAAGAAGAGGGAGTCAACAGAACTGACTGATAGCTTCACACAACAAAGTAGAAGAAATGAATTGGCAAAATTGACAATGGAAGTAGAGCAGGTATTTCAATTCTAACAACCTATTTTAAAACAGACATTAAACTTACAACAGTAGCTGAGTCATTTATAACCTGAATATTCTTAGCTAAAAGGTGCTATCTTTTAAATATAGAAAGCTATTAAAAAAAGGAAGGACTATCTATAAAGATGGTTTACCCTGGGTCCTAGAAATCGATTGACTAAAACATCTTTGAAGACAAACCTGGGCTCTACTATCGACATCCCTGGTGACCTGCATATAACAGGGCAAATTTCAAATATGGAATAGAAAAATTCAAAAACTTCCGCTAAAAGCCGTATTACGGGACCAGAAACTGCTTAAAGCTTTTGAAAAATCTCAGAATCTTAATGGACATGAATACCCTTCTCGCAGATAGAAGAACGTGAACCTTTACAGAGAATAACCAGCTCATCTTAAACACCCACAGAATTTCTAGTTCCACTTTAGAGATAATAAAATAGAGGTCTGATTAAGTCCTATGCTATCTGTAAATCCTATTTTTGTCTCTCCAGTTTCTCAGACAAATGACTAAAATGCTTAAGTAATGAGTAATAATAACCAATCCACTAGCTTTTTCTTTCCCGGTCTCTTAGCAACATCTACACAGTTGACCTCTTCCTTCCTGAAACACTCTGAGCTCTGCCCGACACTCCGTCCTTGGCCACTTTTTCTTCACCATGTAAAATTCTCCTTCGTCTAGGACAGCAGTCACACCAATCCTGTAACTTGAAATACGATCCATATGCCAATGGCTCCCAGATTTCTATCTCCAGCTCTGATTTCCTCCTGACACTTTGGACTTGTAGGTCCAACTGCCTCACAGCCACTGTCACTTGGACGACTTCCATCTACTGCAAATTTACCACAGCCAGAATGCACTCCATCCCCACTCTTTCCTCAGACTTCTTCAATAAATCACACCACCACCCGTCCAATTACTCAGGCCAAAATCCTAGCTCATCCTTGATTCCTCTCTTTACCTCACTCTGGAGCATTCTGTCCCAGCACATAATCCAAAACCAACCACTCCTCAGCCCCATGGCTACAATCCCAATCCAAACCACTATCACCTCTCCCCTACCCCACTGCAAGAGTCTTAGTGTTAGTCCAGACCAGAGCCAGAGCAACCTTATGTAAAAGCATACATAAGATTATTTCATGCCCCTGATTAAAGCCCTTCAGTGGCTTTCCATCACAGTTAAAAAAAATCAATTCAAATGCATTTTCCCAGGGCTTCCCTGGTGGTGCAGTGGTTAAGAATCCACCTGCCAATGCAGGGGACATGGGTTCGAGCCCTGGTCCGGGAAGATCCCCCATGCCGCGGAGCAGCTAAGCCTGTGCGCCACAACTACTGAGCCTGCGCTCTAGAGCCTGTGAGACACAACTACTGAAGCCCGCGTACCTAGAGCCCGTGTTCCGCAACAAGAGAACCCACTGCAATGAGAAGCCCCCGCACCTCAACGAAGAGTAGCCCCCGCTCGCCGCAACTAGAGAAAGCCCACGCGCAGTAACGAGGACCCAATGCAGCCAGAAATAAATAAATAAATAAAATGAATTTATATATATAAAAAATCATTTTCCCAGTCCTGTGAGATATGGCTCCTGCCTACCTCTCCAAGCTCATTTTCTACCCCTGTTCATTATACTTCAGCCACTCTGGCTCTCTTTCTGTCCCTTGGACATGTTAGCACTTCTGCACTTACTACTTTCTCTGCCTGCAACACTCTTCCCCTGAGTTAGCCACATGGCTATCTCCTTACCGTTTAGCTGGAATTCTCCTCCTTAGGGGCATTACATCACCAAGTTAGCTGGAACAGCCCCTCATGCATGCCTTGGTTACTCACTCTCTATCCCATAATCTGTTTCATTTTCTGCCTAGCACTTATTATTACTTGAAATAATCTGTTTACATGTTTGTTACTTAACTCCCAACAGCAAAGCATAAGCTCCATAAAAACAGGAACTCTGCCTGTCTTGTTCACCCAGTACCTAGAGCAGCATGTAGCACATAATAGAAAATACAAAGTATTTGCTGAATTAATAAGTGAATAATTCATAAATAGCCTCTACAGATGGATTAAAATGCAGCCCAAGTAATTATTTCATGCTTTTGTGTAATCCTCCAGATTACCAAAGTTTCCCACTTTCTTTCTCTGGTTACACTCAAGACCAGGACAGAAACCTCTTGCTGAGCTGGGTGAGGAGTCTTCAGGACCGGCAGGAAGAGAACACACCAAAGGGTCTCTGCAGGGTTCTTCTCTAGGCTGAGCATTTGGAGGAAAACTTAGCACAAACTAGCTTTAGACAGCCTAAAGAGCCCTAAACAGATCCGCCTTAATACTGCTTTTAAACACCTCTATTGTTAACGCAGTATCTGGCCAAAGCCTGCTGAGAGTCTTACACTAGTATCATCACAGTAGCATTCACCAAATATTCTGAAACAAGCAAGTTAATGCTGAGCAAAAAGGAAGATACAGGATGGATCTTGTATCTGGAACCTCAACTTCTACAGACAGCCTTCATTCCCACCCCCCAAAATTTTTTTAAAAATGGAACATGCAAAAATAACAGGAGAAAAATGCAGATGTGAAAACAACGGGAGGCACAAAGAATGTAAGTGTGGTGTGTGCATGCGAGAGGCTGCCAGAGACATTACCTAATAATGCTACAAGTCTAGAAAGCTATAAGCTGCCCTCAAAACCAGACCCCTGCTACTAAATGAAAAAGCCCCAATCCTCTCAGCTAGGAGTGACCCTCTCAGCTAAAAGACCAATAATACTCCTAACAAGGTTCTATTTTGTTCCAGAAATCCAGGTAACAATCACTCAGCAAGAACATTTTACTTGCCTTTAAAAGCTATCTGGCAGACCCTCTGAAGAGGCCCATAGGCTGGTTTGAATGAGGATGCTCCATCTGAGAGACTGCAGGCTAGAAGTTCCCAAACGAGCTTATCTTCCATAATGTATTCTTTGACAACAAACACCAACCTGCCCTTCCCCCAATAAGCAATTCAATTATGCAGGTAATACATAAAAAGAAAATATTGCTCTTAGCTTGTACGTTACTTCTAGCTTTGAAATAACTCCACGCGATATTTCCATGAACCTAAAGATGTTTCACATAAACTCCAGCCCAAACGAGAATCTGTCCATTAACTGCAAAAGAGGATATATTTGATAATATTCACATATTATTTCAAAACATTCCAAAGACTTTCTCTGTGCCATCCACATTAAAGCGGCGCGCTGCTTACTCCCTATATCACATAAATGGAACACAGCCTTAAATAAAAAAATAGTTTGCAAAGCTGAACAGGAATCATGTGATTGGCTAGACACAAACCATAAAATGACTGCTCATATCAGGATAGCCAGTAACAGAATTTTTGTTAGATAGCTTAGACTATATTTTTGCATCAGTGGACATTTCTTCCAAAACAATCCTAGCCAAATAATGATCAAAGGCAGCATCAAGTCTGGCAGGGCAGAATATGGAAGGTCCATACACAAGTGCTGGAAGCACAGGCAAACTGTCTTCAGTTGCTAAGTATATGGTGCAGGCACACCCTTTCTGACCAGTCTGAGCCAGTCCAGCATGAGTCCAGAATGTCAGGTAAAGCGGGGCCTACTCTGTGCAAAGCACCCATCAGAATAAGTCACGAGGCAGCCTTTAATCCTCATAGTAAATGTATAATAATTTGTTAGCTTAATTCTAGAAATGGCTCAATTCAGTTTGTAAAATAAAACATTTTAATTTTATCAAGTTTTGGAATACTAGCATTTAAATTTCATATGAAAGAATTCCACTAAGAGAAACAAAAGTTCATATTTACACCAAAACTACAAGGCGTTTCCCTGAATATGACCAACTTGGCCTTGTCAGAACAGTGCTAGGCTAGTCCTTCAAAGGCAATGTTAAATGAGACTATTTATGGAGTCAGTCATCCCAAGCAACTACACACCAAACAGTCCTGCACCCTGTTCTCTTATTCCAGTTCCAAAATTAGGATTACAAAAATATCTCTGGGGCTTCCCTGGTGGTGCAGTGGTTGAGAGTCCGCCTGCCGATGCAGAGGACACGGGTTCGTGCCCCGGTCTGGGAAGATCCCACATGCCACAGAGCGGCTGGGCCCGTGAGCCATGGCCACTGAGCCTGCGCATCCGGAAGCCTGTGCTCCGCAACGGGAGAGGCCACAACAGTGAGAGGCCCACGTATTGCAAAAAAAAAAAAAAAAAAAAAAAAAAAAAATCTCTCTGGATATGTTTAAATAGTTCCACACATTCTTCTGGAAGGTGAATTCAAGATGTTCAGAGAAATCTACAAGAGCTATCTTCCTACACTGCTTCACAGAAATAAAAGTTTTCAGAAGGCTGTTTATTTGTTAAAGGCATCAGTAAGCTCATCTCTAAAATTAGAAGCAAACATTCAAATAAAACATGAAAAAAAGCATAAAAGACTTCACAATTATGGTGAGCCTAGGAGAAAACATAAGAGGTATACTCAGTGTATTCTGCATTTATTTAAAAACATTTAAGGAAAAACTTCTAACTATAATTCAAAATACATAAGCCACACAGAAAAAAACCTGATAAAGTTAGCTACATAAAGTAAAAAAACGTCTGCATGACTTCAAATAAAACAAAAAACCACCATAAGCGAAGTCAAAAGAAACTGAGAAAAATAACTCTTATCTTGGGCAAACAATCAATCTCCTCACTACAGAAAGAGCTCCTGGAAGCCAGGAAAAGAAGACTAACAATCAAATAGAAAAATGAGAAAACCAGAAACAGTTTACAGGAAAAGAAATAAAAACATATGAAAATATGCTCAGCCTCACTCATATAATAAGAGAAACGCAAACGAAACCAACTCTGACTGATTATTTTTCACCTGCCAGATGGGCGAAAATTCAAAGTGTAACAACATACTCTAGGCAAGGCCATGAAGAACAGGCACTTTTAAACTTTGTTAGTGGATATGCAAAATGGCACAATCCCCTATGGGGGGGCAATTTGGCAATTTAATCAAAATTACCGCTGCATTTACTCTTGACCTTGCAATCTAACTTAAGGGAGTTATTCTCCAAACATACTGACAACAGGTACAAAGTTACGCACGCAGCGCTCTCTGTAACAGCAGAAGACTGGAAATAATTCAGGTTGCCATCTACGGGGGACAGGTTAAATAAGTTATAGTACATCTACACAATGAAATGCGTAAGAAAGGAATAAAAATTAAGAATATATACTGTATTCGATTATATCTGTATATAAAATAAGCACTGGAGGGAATCATAAGACACTAATAAAAACAGCTGCCTAAAGGCTGGGAGCAGACAAGGAGACAGGTGGGAATAAAACTTCTCAGTATGTACTTTTTATACCTTTTTTAAAACACCCTATAAATAAATATATCAGCTCTTCAAAAATGAACGAGTGAAATTACTATAGCATTAAGTGGCCTCATTCCGTATATGAAAATAATTGTTAGAAATATTACAATTGATGTCAGGAGACCCCTGACCACCGGACATCAGGGAGAGAAGTCAGCTGTTTACAGGCAGAATCTCCCACTGGCCTTTCCTTGCCATAGGAAAGGCAGGGTTAGCAGGCCTGTCTACACAGCTTCCCTGTGATGGCTGACTGGACCTTTCCAGTGTGAGCTGCCAGTGAGGGGAGTAATGACCCATGGATTACTCAGTGCCCCCTCTGCCACATGAATAAAGATGCCACCAGGACAAAAAGGGAATAAATGCCAATCCATGGGTCAACGGAGAACAAATTATCTGCTTTCTTTCCTAACCTGTGCTGAAATTAGAAACTTAGGAACAGTGATCTTGATCAAGGCTGGTATTCTGAGAATAAGCATGGCCTCAGAGTCTATGAAAGACAGTGTCCACCCTCTGCCCCAGCCAGATAAGTGAGTCAATACCCAACCTACTCCTTGTGGTCACAACTATGCCTCAGTGAGGAACCCAGGTGTCTTCCTTTCTACAACTTTCGTCCTTTAATGGCGAGGGATTCAAATAAGAGAAGATATGTAAAAGTGCTAAGGAGAGGGCCAGGATTATGAAACTATAAAGTACTACTTATTCCAATAAAGATATTAAAAAAACAAAAATAAACAAACAAAAAGAAGTACTACTGTACCCTTTAATGATTTGGTGACAGAACAGGGTGCTTTCCCATAGGGAATCACAAAATTTTTATATAATTTTGGTTGAAAATATGCACTTTGAAAGATTTTCTGGGACAAAGCCATGATACTGAATTGCAAATTTTAGAAAAATTAGCGAAGTGTTGATAGCAAAATCAAGGGAGGCTGGACTTCCCTGGTGGCACAGTGGTTAAGAATCCGCCTGCCAATGCAGGGGACATGGGTTCGATCCCTGATCCAGGAAGATCCCACATACCGTAGAACAACTAAGCCCGTGCGCCACAAATACTGAGCCCACGTGCTACAACTACTGAAGCCTGCGCGCCTAGAGCCCATGCTCCGCAACAAGAGAAGTCACTGCAATGAGAAGTCCGCACTCCGCAACAAAGAGTAGCCCCCGCTTGCTACAACTAGAGAAAGCCTGCACGCAGCAATGAAGACCCAAGGCAGCCAAAAATAAAAAATAAACAAGAGAAAATTTTTTAAAAAATAAAAAATCGAGGGAGGCAAATTTTGTGGACACATATAAGTGATAACCTACTTTTTAAGAAGAAACAACTAGAATTTAGGGGAAATATGAAAAACAGAATCTGAAGGCTCTTTACCAGTTTAGTTACAACATCATTTGTTAGTTCAGTCATAAAATCATTTGCTAGTTTAGTCATAAATGTACATTATAACTGATCATAAAATTTCTACAAGGTTTTTCCAAATATTCAAAACTAGTATAAGCGGATCAAAGTTGGAAGAGCTCTTTGGAGGCTGTCCAGCCTAACTGCCCACCCAATGAGAAATCCCTTCTTCAAACTCCACTTAAGAGCAGCTCCCATAAAATCAAAACCCAGCTTCAGCACTTCCACCGAAGGGAGCTCACCACCTCTCCCAGCAACACCACCTTGACTCTCGCACAGCCGTCTCCCATTCTAAGAATGCTGGCATCCCTCCCCTGCCAAGCCAAAGGAAATGGACATACTTTGTCACAAAAGGAAAAGAAAACTTGCCTTGTAAAACCATTCTGTATAAGTTCTCTTTGAAGTTTCTGATCTTGAGCAGCATATTCAGAAAGTTCAGACTCCACTGCACGAGGGAGAATGTTTGGAATAAATTTAGAAAATAGAGTCGGAGCCATCTGAACCCACTCTGTGAGGGAAGGAAAAGATTCATTAAGGAGATCGTACAGACAAATTAAGTAGAAAAGGGAAAGTTTTCTTCCCAAAGAACAAGATTACGTATTAAACCAAACTTAAAATGGGGAAAAAAACTAGTGCAACCCCTTCTGATAAAGACGTTAAGTTTCCTTTCTAAATAGAATTTACAGAAAGTGGATATTTTTATATTTTTTATGATTTAACAACATTAACAAAAATCCCTAGAGAATTTTTGAAGGAAACTTATCAAAAATTCTAAATATGGAAGAAAACATGAATGAAATAACCAAAGAATTCTGAGCAGGAGGGGACTTGGAGGGAAGGGATTTGATGGAAATACTTAGCCCTATAAAGCATTAATTAAAACAATACACTGGCCTAAGAATAGAATAGTACATGTGGTAGTAAGCAGACATATAAAAAAAGTACCTCAAAAATGCGGAGGGAGATGGGAGAGATAACTGGTAAGCACTTTTAAAATATAAACCTACTTTGACTCACATTAAATTACAGCAAATTAAACATATGTAACAGTGAAAGAAAACAGAATTAAATGGTTATCAAATTATTAAGGAAAAGATAAAAGATCAACAGAATAACCTACAGAAAAATAAACATTTATTCATCAAAATAAAAAGACAAAGAGAAGTCTAAGGAAAATATGTGCATCAGACATGACAAAGATAAATTCGTATCTTTATTATAAAGTGTTTTAACAGATCAGATACTCTTCCCCTACTCAGTGAGCACTAAATATAAATACTGCCCATCTCTATACCCTTTTGGATTCTTTTAATCGAGCCCTTTCAAATTTTATCTTTTGGAAAACATCTTGGCTGTATATATATATATATATATATATATATATATATATCAAAACCCATAAAATGTCAATGCTCTATTTAATCCAGCATGCTCATTTTAAAAACTGTAATCTAAGTAAATAATTCTAAATCTGAAAAAAACACATTTAATGCTATGCAATGCTGGGTCACTGGCAAGTTAAAAAAAAAATGCCCAAAAGAACAGCTAAATTAGAGATGGGGGAAAAAAAAAAAAAACCAACACCACAAACACCACCAAGGCCAATCCACTCACCCTTTCTACAAATTCATGTCAAAATGTTCTCAATAGTGTCCCTCCTTCAAGCTCAGTTCAAATATGGCTTTAGAAAGAGTCTCAACTCAGTGCCCTGGGGAACCACTAACCCATCAGTCAGAGTTGGCAAGGAGTCAAACCAGTCTGACATTTTATGGAACACCAGGCAATCATTAAGATAAAGATAAAGAAACAATGAAAAGTGCATGTATTAAATGAAGAAGTGCAGCATGGGATGATGGGAACTATTCCTAGACTGAGCTTCTAAAGACTAGGTAGAAACACATCTAAATAATAGATGTTATCAGAATCTCCAAGGATTAGGGCCCAGGAATCTACAGCTTAACAAACTTTTTTGGGTGATTCAGATGCATTCATTATATAAAAATCAGCACTTAAGAACTACTGCAATGAAAGAAACTTTTACATTTAAAATTCAACTTTTAAAATAGTTTAACCATAATCTGTCAGGTGAATAAATCTGCTTTAACAAACTAGGAACACAATGGGCCCGGGCAAGACAAGTAAACGTCAAAATATGTTTAATAGTATCTCAGAAAACAGCTAGGACAGCAAAAGGTTAGTCTGTGATAAAATTCACCTTTTCATAAGGACAGTTCTCAAATACAGAATTCTCCTCACAAGTAGTATGAAACCTATTACAAGAGCTCAAACCTGGATAAAAATAGCATTTAGATAAAGAAGCATCTATAAGTTTTTTTACCCTTAATGACTAGTTTTATTCTGCAATTTTGTTACTTATGATAAAAGCCAGAGCTTGGGAAGCTGCCCACTTGGGAAGGAGAATTTAGAAATCTGTCATACTGTATTTGGATGTCTTCCAAAAGAAAAAGAAAAAAATCATTCATAACCCAGCACTAAAAGAAAAACTCATGAGCTATTTTCATCACATTTAGTAAAATGAAATTCAAAATTCTAAGAAACTGGAAAAAGAAATATATCAGTTTATTGGACACATGCAACATTTTTGCTACTTTACATAAATAATTACTTTATAGGAATAATTTGTCTAAAAATTATGAAGAATAGAGCAAGAACTGATCCAAATTTAAGTAACATTACATTTGACTACTCTAGAAGTCACTAACTGCTGAAAGTAGCCTGAGAAAGACGGTACTTCTGGGTATCACAGTCTACCCCTAGTATCAGTTTTAAACTGGTTTCCATCTTAGCAAGCTAAATTCTGATATATCTTTTAAATTAAGTAAACTATTCAGACATCAATTAATTAAAATAAAATAACCACTGGACCCAACTGAATAGTAGTAACAACAGTTAATATTAGCATGCTCATTACATTATCAGGTACTATGTTAAGCTCTTTAGATCATGTTTTATTGCATTCAATCCTCAAATGACAAAAGAATTTCATAAAAAGATAACTGCTGTCAAAAAAGCAAACCTTAAGTTTCTACACTGAAAAATGATTTTCTACGCTGAACTTCTGCAATCTCTCTCCTATGGACATTTTTTAATTGGCTAGACAACTATGCTAAGTTTGAGGCTCTGGGTTAAAAACAGAAAGATACATACAAAAGCATCTCGAGAGTCCTTTAAATTCACAATGGGTTTTTTTTTTTTTTTAATTTATTTATTTTTGGCTGCATTGGGTCTTCACTGCTGTGTGCGGGCTTTTCTCTAGTTGCGTCGAGCAGGGGCTACTCTTCATTGCAGTGAGTGGGCTTCTCATTGCGGTGGCCTCTCTTGTTGCGGAGCACAGGCTCTAGGTGCGTGGGCTTCAGTAATTGTGGCATGAGGGCTCAGTAGTTGTGGCTCGCAGGCTCTAGAACGCAGGCTCAGTAGTTGTGGCACAGGGGCCCAGTTGCTCTGCGGCATGTGGAATCTTCCCGGACCAGGGCTCAAACCCGTGTCCCCTGCACTGGCAGGTGGATTCCCAACCATTGCACCACAAGGGAAGTCCCACAGTGCTTTTATTACAAGACAGATACATTAAGATAATTTACAAACCATGCCTTTGAATACAGTGATCTTTGATTTTTGGTTCTGCTATTCTGACTATCTTTCTCCTCAAACTGTCCTTATGAAATGACTGTAACTTTACCAACACTTCTAGATTCCTTGTAAGTTATATAATAGGCCTAACAAGATGGAGTTGTGAATGTGTATGCCCGTGCGTATTTGCAATGTAGGGAAGAAGTGAAGAAGAACCTCACAACAAAAAAAGAGATTAATGCCAGACATAAGATTCGACTTTATCTAAAGTGTCTCCTACAAACTATTTTTGTATTCCCCAAACTAGCTGGTTTTCACTAGCATAGAAAGATTTCCAAGTGAGGTCCTGAGTTTACATTTCACAATGATGAGTATATACTCAATTTTTTTGCTATAACAAATCCAAATACCATTAGACCTCAGAAAACACAAAGAAACACTATCCTCTCGCAGATAGGGCTGGAAGTGCCATAAACAAACAAACAAGTCCAACCCCTAAAGAAATGATGAATGTTTACCTGGTCTGAGAGTGTACAGGCCTTTCACAATATTTGCCATAGTTGAAGGTGTGACCTGAAATGGTGTTGACTGGGCTTCTAAAAGTAAAGCTGAAATAGAGAGTAAATGGGTTATAAAAATGATACAACACTTTACTGATTGTCAAGGTTTCACTTTCTATCACTATTTCTCCCAAAGACTGAAGGGTAAACAAGGGCAAGAAAAGAACAGCCCAAGAGGGCAAACCAAGTAGTTGTACACTAAAGTTTTTTTTTTTAATCCAGTGCAGTAGAGCTCAATCTAACAAGTAGATATGTGCGTATCTGTTGAAACACGAACGGAAATGATTCAATTGATGGAGGTTCTGAAAATAAGTAAAGCTTTCTAAAAGCAACAGTATTCATGGTACTTAGTGAGTGAGCTATAAATACTTCCCATTAACTTCACGATTCAAAAGATTTACATTTGGGGAATGAAATATTCTCTAACTCCCTCCATCATTTCCCTTTCCCCCAAATCACCCATATATGAGGCTCTTGGAATTTTTCTGAAAGACATGTTATTAGTAATTCTAGTAACTGAGATCAGAGTCAGAAACTCACTTTCCCAAATGCTACAACTGCAGGTACTTTTTCTTACTAAAGGTAAAGGCAAGAGATCACACTGTCTAACCATGTGATCCTGACTAAACATGACAACAGAGTCAGTTTTCTTTTAGGTTATCTATGGTCACACAAAAATATTATTAAAATATGTTAAATGGATACAAATACTTCCTCTAGACAAAACATATATAAACGAACTCCATCATTTAATGAATATGACAGATACTACTGACTCAAAACGGCTCATTTTTAATTCATCTCTCAAAGACCTGTAATTTACTAACCAAATACCCATGAAACTTGGCATAATTTTCATCTAAGCCAGCTTGTAAAATTATATAAGTTGTTTTCTTCTATCCCCACCTTTTAAAAAATGGAAACACCATCTCACTTGGCCAACAATGATTTCTGTAGTTTCAAACATGCAACGTGAATTACATTTGCAATGCTAGGCATTGCAGAAAAATCATATTTTAAAATGTCATGTTTAAGAATTGAAATTCTAAATTTTAGGTTCTTAGAGGCTATTCTACTCAAGGTTCTCTCTAATTTCAACATGTACCCCAAACCCAGGGTCTAGCTCTATTAATCCATCTTCCTCCCACTTTTTGACCGATCGTTTGGTTTTCAGTAAGTGTTGTTTCCACTAACTCTTTATGTTCAATCACACATTCATTATGTGGTCAAATATATACATTTGCAAACAACTTCTACATAACTATAACCACCTATGTCAAATTTGATAGCTGTAAGGAAATGATAAATTCACAGGTTAAGTTATACGTAAAATGTACATAAATTAATTTGGGATGAATTAACTGAAAATAATCACATTCAGCAACAAAAGGTAAGGTTAAGAAGGTATAACATTTCACTAAAATCCTCTCCACTTAAAATTCATTGTAGGAAAAGTCTTTAAAAGTAAAATTTTCCAGTTGAACTCCCCTTTTAAGGAAAAGAAAATGGGAATTTGAGGGAGAAGTAGCTTGAGAGAGGGAAGAAAATACTTATTGAGCATTTAACAGGTGCTAGGTACTTTACATATGTTTAATTCTCATACACTTTATTTAACTTAGGATTTACTTTCTCACAAGCTTAATTGTTATCTACCTTTTTTTTTTAGTACAAATAAGTAAACTGAGAGGATACTGTACTACCATTTCAAAGATATTAACATTACACTCCTTCTAGAATTACCAGTAACAAAGTTACGGGTGAACTCCTTAATATTTCCCCCAATGTCAGAGAAAAAAAAAGGCAGCAAGTATCATGCCAGATATGAAGGCACTGTCCAATGACCTGCCTGCTCCCAGCTCACTGGGTGATCTTCATGTCACATTTTCAATTCCTCAGTGTCTCTCTGTATAGAATTGGGCTTTATGATCACTACAAGATTCAGAAGACATCAACACTGGGGTTTAGATGCCAATGCTCTTGGATTCAAAAAAAACCCCCAAAACACTGCTACTGTTATGTCATCCCCGTAAGATTAATTACTTACGCATTAGGCTGTAAATGTGCTTTTCTGCAACATGTTCCGTAAACAGCTTTATAAGGTCATCTTTTAAGTCTCTGTTAAGCTTGGTTTCGATGTAAAACTTATTCTGAAAAAGAAAATAAGTTATTTTTCAGTGCATCAATTAGAGAGAAATGATTAGTCTAATGAACTGAAGCACTAAAAAATAAATTCTTTTAGGAAACAATTCATAAAGGCATCAATTAAAACATAAAAACCCAACATCAGAAAACAAAAGCCCTGCCACTATTAGTTATAGTCTTCCTAGCATGGGGTTAAAAGCACATAAAGATAAAATGCTATAAATCATACAAAAGAACATGGGAAGATACTCAACATTAACTAGACAGGGATTCAATGGACCATATTGTATGACAGGCACTTAATATGCCCTTTTAAATGACTACATCATCAGCTAAAGGCAACACCAGGAAACACTAGTGAAAGGTACCCTACTTATCAATGATCCAGGCTGAAAGCATGCAGTGGGCATGCACTGGTTGACTCCCCTACATTTCACTTTAATGATTAGTCTAAGTCATTCAGCTTATGGCATTCCTTAGGGATGGATGGTCTTTGGTTCAAAGGTAGACAAGTGATCCAAGGTAACCCAATCAGACTAAGGGAAACCTAGGCTTGAGTAAAAATCATCTTACAACCATGAGGAGAACAAGATGAAACAGATGTGTAAAGCAAAGAGACAAAAAACAACCTGAGACTTTGGTAACATTGTTGAACCATGGATTCAACCAACCCAGAAACTGCTGTATTTCTGGAGTTTTATTACAAGAGATAATACCTTTCTCATTTACAAATCACTTTGAATCAGGTTTTCTGTTTCTTGCAGCCAAAAGCATCCTAATTAGAATGACTGGCAAGTAAAAAAGATTGAATTCGTTCATGTTTAAATGTTAACTCAATGCACAGGAGTGGAAAATACAAAGAGGAATGAATGTCAATAAGTTGGCTCACTGATTCTCTCAATTCTTAACATGTTTTTTTCTCTCTAAAAAAATCATAAGGGACTTCCCTGGTGGTGCAGTGGTTAAGAATCTGCCTGCCAATGCAGGGGACACAGGTTCATCTCGTGGTCTGGGAAGATCCCACATGCCGTAGAGCAACTAA